ATGGAGCAATGGGTGTTACACGCAAACAATGAATCATGGAACACTACATCAAAAACTAATGATGTAATGTATGGTGATTAACATAACAATAAAAAAGAGTTAAAAAAAAGAGATTTTTTTCTTTGATTCATTATGTTATTTAGAAGTCTACTTATTTAATCTTCAAATATTTTGGAATTTTCCAGTTATATTTTTGTTACTGATTTCTATCTTAATTCCATTATGGTCTGAGAGCACACATTGTAGGATTTTTTTTTAAGTTTGGTAAGATGTGTTTTAGGGCTCAAATGTGGACTGTCTTGGTGAATGTTTCATGTGAGCTTGCAAAGAATGTATATTCTGCTGTTGTTGAAGTTCTATAAACGTCACTTATATCCAGCTGATTGATGGTACTGTTCAGTTTAACTATGTCCTTACTGATTTCTGCTTGTTGGCCCCATTACTGACAGAGGGTTGTTGAAGTCTCCAGCTATAGTAGTGGATTCATCTATTTCTCCTTGCAATGCTATTAGGTTTGCTTTGTGTATTTTGACGTTCTGATGTTAGGGGCTTACACATTGAGGGGTGTTTTGCCTTCTTAGAGTAATGACCTTTTTATCATTTTATAATCCCCTCTTTATCCCTGAATATTCTCCTTCCTTTGAAGTCTTCTTTGTCTGAAATTAATGCAGCCACTGCTGCTTTCTTTTGATTAATGTTAACATAGTATATTTTTCTCCGTTCTTTCACCTTTTTTTCCATTTATTCATTCTATTTATGTATTGATTGTATTTATTCTGGAAATGGGTCTGTTACTGACAATACATGGTTCTTTTGTTTTAATCTTCTCTTAGTCTTTTAATTGGTGAATATAGACCAGCAACATTTAAGCTGATTATTGAGATACGTGGATTAATATTTACCTTATTTGTTATTATTTGCCATTCACTGGTATTGTTCTTCCTTGTTTTTTTTTCTTTCACTCTTTTTCAGACCTTAATTGAGGATTTCACATGATTTCATTTTTTATCATGTCTTAGCACACCAATTACATATACATTTTTGACCTTTTCTAGTGGTTGACAGTGAGTTTGCAATATACACTACCACTAACGCAAGTCCTCTTTAAAATATCACTATACCACTTCATGAATAGTATAAGAAACATACCAGAGTATTTTCCCAGTAAACTCTCCCATCCCTAATCTCTTAGGTCAGTTGTATTTTTGTTTTTTGTTTTTTTTTAGGTCAGTTAGGTTCTAGTAAAATAGTTTCTCTTGAGGGCAGGCTTTGTTCTGGGAAATTTTCAGAAAATGCTATTTTTCCCCTCCACCTGCTGAAAGCAGAGAGGAGTTTCCTCGGATCTTCACTGTGAGAAACTAACAGAGTTCCTGAAATTAAAACTTACAAATGTGTGGGGGACTTCCTAACACTGAAATCCCCTGGACTATCCCTCCAATTTGTCCACATTGAGCCTACAGCAATTGATCAGTAATAGTTTAGGATGTCCTGCCCGGTACTGACTCCTGCAGAGGTTTCTGTTTATGGGCATCCACTCCAGTAAGTTGTGATTCTGTTTCCACTTGCTTGTCTCCAATCTGAGGGCAGTGGTTTGCCTTGAGACCTCAATTCTCTAAAAAACTTAAAAAGAGTTGTTGATTTTTAGTTTGTTCAGCTTTTTGTTTTTTTGTATTATGAGGAAAGAAATAATGACTTCCAAGCTCCTTACATGCCAGACCAGATACTGAAAAGTGACTTGCATCTATTTTTTTTAATGATTTATTTATTTGAGAGAGAAAGAGCATGCGTGCATACAAGTGAGTGGGGGGGGAAGGGCAGAGGGAAAGAATCTCCAGCTGACTCCCCACTGAGTTCGAGCTGGAT